CCTTAATGCCTTCTTAGGGGGAAAATTATGTCTTCTCGCTCACTCCTCATGTTGGGCAGCAGCTGGTATTGCATTGCCTTTCTATCTGTTCAAATTTCAGGAGGGGGACATGTTCTCTAAAGCTTAGCAGGACTCGGTCCTTCTCGTGAACCCAACAGGAAGGTACGTTTGCTTGCCAAAGGCAGCGGGCTTGAAAATGTCCCCTCAACGGCAAAAAGTCCAGTGTTCTCGTCTCTTCTTAGAATAGCTCGCATCCCTCACCCATAATTCACCCCGCCGTCAGTACACCTCTCACCCTTCCGTCTTCCTTTGTCTAATGCTTTTTGCCTAATTTTCGGCCTTCGAATACTAAAAGATAGCTGACGTCCTTTACTTCTTACCCAAGATATGATTTTTATCTTCCCCCATCATGAAATTGATGAATGGATGCCTTTTGTCAGCCAAGTCCCCCGAGATCTCAGCCCTCCGCCGGATTTCGATGATACCAAGGACGTTGGCAAGCAGTCTGAGTGGTCTCGAGAGTGGAGAGAGGAGAGAGGAGAGTGGAGAGAGGAGAGAGGAGAGAGGAGAGGAGAGGAGAGGAGAGGAGAGGAGAGGAGAGGGGAGGGCAGGGAAGAAGAGAGGAGAGGAGAGGAGAGGGGAAGAGAGGAGAAGGGAGGAGAGGGGAGGGGAGAGGAGAGAAGGGAGGAGAGGGGAGGGGAGGGGGGGAGAGGAGGTTTATAAAGTATGAGGGAAATCCCTTGACATGGATAATTTTGGAAATCACAAACATGGATATCTGATAACTTAGCGATTGAATGGACTGATTCAGTCACACAATCAAATATGTTCAGCTTCAGTGCTTACTAAATAATCCAGATAATTTGTCAGATAAGTATGATTATGACCTTCAATTCTGAGATCAAACCAAAAGAATAGTGCAATACTGCAGGGATCATGATCATTAAAGGGCAATCTAATTCATTAACAGTGTCTTATTTCAAGATTGTCCACACAACGCTATTACATATATCATATTTCAGCCAAACAAAAGTGCTTGGTATTGTTATTATTAATAGCATCAATAGTTACCTGACAGTAATGTCACAATTTAATTTGTGCTTCTTTTGACTTTATAAGAATTCTGTGAGCTAACTGTATTAGAATACCATTCTTGATGAGCCTTGAAATTATAAGATACTTGTTCAAATTTCCATTATTAATCATCTATATGTCAAAAATGTGATTGGGCACACAAAAATTTTATCTTAACATCTAGCAAAGTACCCAGAAACTGCCGAAACTTTCAAGACAAGATTTATTTTATTTGAAAGAGCTAGACGAGAGAGACCAAGAAGGAGGGAGATTGTCCATCTTCTGGTTCACACCCCCAAATGACCACAACAGACAGGAGTAGGCCAGGCCAAAGTCATGAGCCATGAACTCCACCTTGGTCTCCTACAAAGGTGAGGGGGTCCCAAGCACTTGGGCCACCTTCCGCTGGATTGGAAGCAGAGTAGCCGGGACTTGAACCAGTGGCATGCCAGTGTCGCCAGCAGAGGCTTAATCTACTTCACCACAAAGCCAGCACCACCAAATTTTTAAATGAAAATATTTTGAGTGAATATTCTGAATCATTTTATTCCTTGACCAAGAAAAGGGGGTGGGATATCCACCTCATAAAGCTACTGTTAAAACTATATTTGTGAAATGTTATGTAATCCACATAGGGTGGTTCAGAAAAGATTCTGAATAACTATGTTTTGTCGCTTCCTCTTTTAGGTTTTACTAAAAATGGGCCATTCCGTGTTCTTACAAGGGATAGCTACACACAGGTGAGATTAGACATTTCTATTTATCCTCAGTCATCAGCAACTGGAAAACTTCCACACAATTTATTAATGATAGATATGGCATTTTGAGGTTAATAGATTTTTTGGTTATCCTTTTGGCTTTACATTTTCAAATAATCTTCACAAAATCTATTATTTCTGTTTTTCACATTTGTATGATATATATTGTTCCATTCAGTGGATAGCATACAAGAGCCCAATGAGGGGTCAGCCTTTGGTGAGGCTCAGAATGCCTGGGTTTGAGTCTCAGCTCCACTCTGGATTCCACTTCCTGCTAATGCACACTCTGAGAGGCAACACATGGCTCAAGCAGTTGGACCCCTGCCACTCATGAGGGAGACCCGGATGCAGTCCCAGGTTCCCAGGACCCTAAGGAGCTTGTCTGTCTCCTTCTCTGTCTCTCCAGCTGTCAAAATAATAATAATGAAAAAAATAATTCCAAAGAAAGTTCAAGCACTTGTTAAGGACATGTAAGGATTCACTGGTGGTATCTACCCCAAATCCACACTCTCTGGACCCCTACTTCATTGTTCCTTCTATTAATTCTTTCCTAAAAGTTCCAATGTGTGCATGACTTTGGGAGAATAAAATTGTGCTAGGAAAACACTTTTTTGGGTCTACTTTCCCAAACCAGAAAAGTGTTTTCTACCCTAGGAAGGTATACTGTGAGTCAAGATCCCCACACTTGCCTGCTCCATTCCTAATTATGCTCCTGGGGACGCCAATTTTAAGGGTTTCCATGCTTGTCTCTGCTTAGTTGGGTTTTAGTAAGAGTCCTGTGCAGTCAGTTTCAAAAACCCCTCATCCTCTTCTCTGCTTGGACCCTGTCCCCCACCCTGGTGTCCTACCAGGCTGGCCTGTCCTCAGCAGTTGTCCCTTCCACCTGAGGCCTCCTCTGGGTCATTTTCCATCCGCGGACCCCCTCCCAGCCCTGGGCTGTACATCTGCAGGGTCTTGTTTCAGATATGAGCCAATCTCTCCAAGTGCCAGACCTCACTGACGGAGCCCCACTAAATGAAGTCTCCTTCATTGTCTTACACAAGTGTCAGGGATGCTTTCCTTCAAAAAATAAAACGTCCTCCACCATTTGAGAGTGGTCAAGCCATTCTCAGGATTGCTTTCTCCTCCGGGCTCCACAGTGCTCAGGACAATGCCGGCGCCATCCTCATTTCCCAATCCATATTGATTAACAGATGAGTGGAAGGAAAGAAGGAAGGAGAGAGTCAGGAAAGAAAGGAAAAGGAATGGAATGAAGGAAGGAGGAGTGATTCGATTACAATGGCTGGAAAATGCAAACACTTCATTCCATTCAGGAGGAATCTGCACGCAACAGTCAACCTGCACAAGGAAGTTATTGAATATAAGTATGCATGAGGGTCGTCAAGTTCATGGAGAACGTGTACTATGAGAATACTACAGGGATTTCAAAACACCAAAATAAGCTCACCTTTTAATTCTATTTTGTACAAACTTTTGGAAGTTCCTTGTTATGTCTAAAATTGAATTTTATTAATTATATTTTGTATAGATTATTTAGAGGGACCACACTGTTGCTTTATTGAGGAATAATGTGATATTCTTGTTATACAAAACTATTAAGGCCTCTAGAATTGAATGGCATTGTTTTATTTGTTGAGAGTACTTAAGGCTGTAAGTAAAGCTTCAGGTTTAGTAGAATACTGAGCAAAAATAATGACAGAGTAATACAATATTTATGGAATTACTAAAATAATTTAGCAAATTTATACTTACCAGGATGTCTTTTCCAGCCCATTTGCATTCATCCCTTCTGGTGTAAGATACTGGCCACGCAATCTAAGGACAGACAAAAAAACATTGTTTTATGTCAATTTTTCTAAGAGATACAACAAACTTTTGGATGAGGGTGGGGCATATGCCTTAAGTTCCATCAACTATCGTTAGACTTCACGGTGAGGTCAGCTAGTGTGGACTTCAGACCTGCGTTCTCTACTCACACATTAGCTTTTGTGGCATAGAAGAGGTGGGCAAGAAACTGATACAGCTGATAGGACAGATGAGCTTTTGTGGCATAGAAGAGGTGGGCAAGACACTGATATAGCTGAGAGGTTGAAGGAGAAAGTAGATAGCTCTAAAATCACCCTCTGGCTGTGGGCTAATCGTAGACTCACTGAGACCTACTTGTCGCCATCGCATCCCTGTGCTGGGGTGAACACAGAGAAGAGATGCTATGGTGGTTTGGAAGCAGGGGCTGCATTTCCTTCGACAGCACTGAACCAATGCCCTGAGCAATACCAGTGGCTTCCATCTTGGTGGGCAGAACAATTTATTGTTTTTCTTGATTCATTTTTCTCTTCTAGCAATACTATTGAATATCAGGGAAAAATGTCATATTTAATAGAAGAATGCAGAGATGGTAAGAGTTAATCATTCACGTCTGTGGGGAAGCTTTTAGTCTCCGAATGACTGATTACCATTCAGTTGGGAACCTCCGGAAGATGCAATATAAATGGTGCTAAACTTGGGCAAGCAATCTGATATTCACTCTAGGAAGTGGGAAAGCAAATTACAACACATTTATAAACAAGAATTTGGGACACATTGAAATAACACACGATGACTTGACAAATGCATTTAGGGGCCCTGCCCCAGTTACAAAGTCCTAAAAATTCTTGGATATGTATTTATTTTGACCATTAAGCTCTTCACTTGCGGACTTTTTTTTTTTTTAATGTGTTTTCCCTCTCACAAGTGTCTGTGTAAAAATTAAAACTGTCATTTGGCTTGTTCCACGTAAATTTTACAAACGAGTTGCGTAAAAACATTCAAGAGCAGGAAATGTGTCTCATTCCTCACGACTAACATTAGCCTGACTCCTGGATGGTGAATTGATGGCAGGAGGTTCCCTTCTACAGTTCTGTCTTCACATTGGCTACAGAAAGGTCAGGTGATCAGTCTTAGAGAAAGTTTATAATGGAAGAGGTCGAACTATTAACTTTTGTCTGGGGCAAGACAACAATAATACACAGCACAGTTAAAATTTGTTGATGTTCATATTCAGCTTTCCAGCTAAACTGTGCCCAAATCACAGATTATTAATCATGCTTATATGCACTGATTTATTTCTTTACAAAGGCGAGATGTTTTGTTATAGTTTCAGAAGTCTTGATTGCTAGGTGTTGAGACAGTTTGGGCTTCATTCTATGAGTTCTTTATATCAAAGAGTATGAAGAATCATTTTATAACTTTCCTGTTAAATTCTTTATCTTCTTTGTTCAAAAACTGCTCAGGTAACTAATAATGCCTAAATGTCTTTCTTTCTTATTTAAAATGCTTCAAGTCTATTTGCACTTTCTCTTTCTTATGATCCACTACTCACAGCAGTCCTTCTTGCTCTTATATTTAACAAACAGGATCTTTAAGGAGACTGAACTCCTTTTATTAAGGTAAAGTGTTTTTCTATGATTTTCCAAATCTGGGAATGTGCTTTCCTCTAAAAATGATTGGCTTATTTTTTCATCTTTAAGTTTATAATCTTATATTTTATTGTGGTTTAAAAAGTCATCAAGAATTATTTATGATATACCATAGTACAGAATCTGTCATAACATGAGATGGTTAGGAAGAAGTTGTTCAACAATGTTGTACATACATAGACTGAAAAGAACATAAAAATGAAATATAAATAAAGAGATGTAAATCCATAAGTAAATTAGATTCAAGCTTATACACAAGGCTGCAATGAGATGCCTTCAATTTAGAAATACATCTTCAGATTAAAATGTTGATTTTAAAGTTGAAGGACAAGAGCTATAAGAACACTAAGATATATGGGATGTCACTTAATTTTTAATTAGTTCATTAATTCAAAATATATGTATGATGAGTCTGTTGATAGACGACACTAAAATATACTGGGTAAACAAATAACTCAAATTGTTCTCAGCTATAAAACAGTAGATTTCTCTATTTTAATTTGGTTCTTTTCAGTTTTAGAAACAGCTGAATATATTAACCAAGTTCAGAATATCTATTCAAAGATAAGGTTAAATATGTGGAACGTATAGGCTAAAGTGATTTATGTTCATACACTTTCTATCTACAGATATATATGCATATTTATATACATGAAACCTTTGCAAAATTATGAAATGCTGTAATACTGATAATCTCAACATATAATCTCCTAAAATAAAAGTGTGAAAATTTCCTTAATTATCTTAGATTTTTATATTCCTTTAATGTATACTTTCCTTTCATTAAGACAACAATGATGACAAACATCTGCTTAATTTGTGACCTTTTCTAAAATTTTTAAGATGTTTTTATCCTGTTGGGAAAGCCAATGAAAAATAGTTTTCTCAAATAGTAGATAAGTTTTGGCTATGTATTGCTATCATTGGAGGGGGCTTAGAAATCAATCATATTGAAAAATCAGAGAAAGAAAAGAAATACACAGGGTGATTTTTAAGATTTTTAAGTGATATATCTTAATTCCAAAATATTTCAGAAGGGTGTTGTCATTTTATATGAATATGTCTAGTGCATCAAATGTGTATGCATATGGTCAGAATTTTAGTGTCTGGTAATAAAGGAAAAAAAAGCCTTAGGTTTAGTGCAATACCCTGTTTAAGGTCTGAGTCAGCTTTGAATGTAAACCTTTACTGTATCTCTAAGCAACATTCTCCAACCAGAACAAAGACTTTTTACAACCCAGTCACATTTTTAAAAGTTATCATCCAATCTGCTATGGTTTATGGGCAGCTGAGGCCCACCACTCTAAAGCCTCAGTGTTGAGAAGAAGCAAAGCCAACATACTAGATGCTAATGTGTCTGTGTTCCAAGAAGCCCATTGTGCTGTGATTCTTGTGAAAGTTATTGCCTGAAGACTTCGTTCCTCAGGGAATTGAGAATGGAAATGTCGACTGTGAAGAACCAGTTGATTTAGAGTCCAGCATGTAGATGGAGGAGCAGGCTTCCACTAATTTGCCAATCCATGTTTACTTTCAAAACTGTGTATGTTATTAATGAAATAAGCCAGAAGCAATATTAAGAATAAGGATAAAATCTGGCTGCTTGCTGATGTCTAAATGACCACATTTGCAAAATGTCTAAAGCTTTGAAAACTAATCTGCTAGATCTGGGTTTGGCAAAGTTTTTGTTTAAAAGGCCAGATAGTAAATATTTCAGGCTTTCTTGGCCAGATGATCTCTGTCGCAACTACTCAACTCTGCTGTTGTAGCATGAAACAGACACAGATAATATGGAAATGAATGGGAGTGCCTGTGTTCCAATAAAACTTTCTTTGCAAACACAGGTGGCACACCAGAACAGGCGTGGGAGGCACGAACCCTGCATTTGCTGGCAATATAGAGAGATGGAGAAATTTACACACATGCATGCATACGCATAGGACATGAAGTCAATTATAATGTATTTCTATGTAATTCAAACATTTACTTTTCTGTGGGAAAATGGTGTAACTAAGAAGGATAAGCTGAAGTTAATATTTCTTAAAGTGAACACTGAAAATCCATGCTTCTTCCTTGATGATTTTAATGTTGTACTGCATCCATTGGCTTGTTATTGCCATCATATATTTGCATCCAAAAAGATATTAATTTAAAGCAATTTTCTGTCAGTTGACATGGTGTCAGATGGTGAGAGAATTCTGTACAACTTGAGAGGTCTCGACAGAACTATGGTATATAAATTAGAATAAAAATACCTTTTGAAAATCCTTGATATTAACCAGGTTGAATGAAAATATGTGATCCTTTGCTCCAACATAGAGCCTACTCCGTTCCTCATCCAAAAGGAAGGTATGATAACTGGAGCTGTTGGCCAAGCCATTGAAAGTGATCACATTGTTGGATTCCAACATTTCTGCAAGGTAACACAAGACACTGGGGGTTAACGTGAGGTCCTCCAGGAGCCGAGACTGTCAGTCCACGGTAATTCGACTACTGCTTGCTGTAGTTATCCGGCAGGAACTAGGAAATACAGAGAAATACAGTTTTTATAGTTCATTGAAATGGGAGTTACACTCATCAGTTTGTTGATTTCATACTCAGGAAAACACACCACTAAAGAAGAAAAAGAGAGAAACATCTTGCCTACACACACTGGCCTGGCAGATTCTATTCATATGTTGTAATGGACTAGAAGTGTCCATAGTGTAAATAAATGTCTTTAATTTTACAAAGTTTTGCCTGAGTGGTTTCATTTGCCTAAAGCCATCAGCTAGAAGGGTAACAAAAGAGTCAGCAGAGAGGAGAATGAGGTGTAGAGAAAATACAATTTAACCTCCTTGGTTGTTTGAAGGCTTTCTTTAACGAGATTCTTGAATACATCATATCAATCATTAAATCATTCATTTTACCATATAAAGCCTTTGAAGTTTTCGGAGTTGACATAGTTAGAGAAGCGGAATGAAAACTTTTATGAAAAGTGGTTTTCTTTAAATATCTGTTTAACTCAAATACCCACACACAACACATGTTTTTAGATCTCCATCCTGCCCCCTTGGCACTGATGTTAAGGGTTCTCTGAAACTATGTCCTGAATGAGTACTTCAGATTTCCAGTTCACAGTCCACAGTTCACAGGGGACTTTCCACAGCAGCTACAAAATGGAAAGTGCACCTTGCGTGGTAAGAGAGCTGCAAGGTGCACCCTGTATCTCTGCCGTCACTTCCAGGAACGTACATGTACTGGCGTCTCGGGACAGATTCCACGCTGGTATCTCCTTCTCCTATGGTCTTTTCCATCTTACTATTGAAAGTGTGATTTCCACAGAGGACAGAGTTCACACTCTGGAACTTAGCATTAAAGGTCAAGTCACCACCCTTGTGTTTAGTCCCTGTCCTAGCCTCCTCATGTCCTCAGCGTTTGTCTTCATTGCCATTGTTCCCAACTCCCAGGAGCATATGCCACCTCAACAAACCAGTGTCGGGTCTTACAAACCAGGCTGAGCGCAGCCTCCGAGACATTATCCTAGAGTTTCTTCATACATGTTGCTTGAATATAACTTGCAACACGCTGTCAATTACTGCAGTCATTCATGCAAAATGATTTAACTACCAGAATTAACATTTCCCAAGGTCATGGAATACATGATTAATAGCTCAATATCCACAATCCACACAACTTTGTTTCCATATTACCAGATCAACTAACATTGAATTGAATACCTATTTGCACATTTACGTATCTAATAGAAGAAATGTGAACAAATTGTTAAAACATGCTTTTCTGATTTCTTCAAGAGAAACAGTAATAACAAGCTGGCCTCCAATTCTCCCTGCCCCCTCAAAGAGAAAAGGGGAGGGAGGAAATCAAAGGAAAACATTTCATTCATAGGAATCATGGCTGACATGAATGAGAGCTCAGTGTCCAGAGACAAAGGGCAGCCCATCCAGTGCATGACATCTGAATTGAATGGCATTGCTTTCACCACCATCCAAAACACTGCAAAGCATTAGTGCAACACAGAGTCAATTTAAGACTGAAACTTGAGGCACTCTGAGCTACGTGAGGGTGGGAAGCAGCTGCCCCAGAGGTGGGGGCCAAACTTGTATCGTTGGATAAATTCAGGCAGAGAGTGGATGTTTAACATTTTTTTAATCAAATAGATGCCAGTCACTCTTCATTCCCATTCAAAACACTGTGATTCGACCCTGGTACCAGAGGCCAGACTATAGGTAGCCAGACAAAATGACTGGAAAAGTTCAACCTAAACCAAGAAAATCAGAGTATATAGAGACATTAAGAAATGCAAGTGGCAATTAAGAGATACACCATGGATTTGAATTTGAAACACATAGAAATCATGTACGGAACCCCTAAGCATCAAGTGGGAAAGGTTCCAGGAAAACAGCCATTATAGGTTTAGACTCAGAAGTGATCTAGTTACGAGAACATGGACATTTCTACAGTACTTGTTTTCTAGGTTTGCAAATCAGGATGAGGTCCCTAAGCACGTTGGGTCTCAGTTTTACAGAAAATGGGATGGTTACTGCGAAGGTAAAGTTCCATTCTCATGGAAAGAGCCTGAAGTGAAAGTTTGCATAGCAAGCACTCAACAGAAGATTATTTGTGTAAGTGGAGGTTAAATATGAGCAAGTTTGATCTTCTTGGCAAGATATAAAAATTATGATCCAGATGGACTAGACTGAAGAAAATACTTTTTATAAACTCTCTTACCAAGTGTTCTAACTTGTTAACAGCTGCAATTTCTGTATGGTAAAGGGATAAATATGAATCATAATATGTTTTTATTTATATTAATACTAAGGACAATGAAGCATTCTTCTTTGTCAATCATATCCTCAGTTCTAAGCAATAGAAACAATGACTTTCTACACTATAATTCTAAGCAGTGAAAATATTTATCCAATTGAAAAATATGCAATAGGTCAAATTTGTAAATTCATTTGGGGAGAGTTATTGGTTTCTACGCACAGGAAGCTTAGAGAGGCCTTTGGTGGCTTTTATTTGAAATCACTCTAGAAATAAACTAGCTGAATCATTTCATTAGAACAAGGTATTTTCATGGAGTATGACTTAATGGCTGTTTCTGTTACTTCAAATGTACTCAGTTTTGTTCCATCTTCTTTTTATTCCAGATTCTTGAGGTATTTTCTTTTAACGGGGGCTTCTTTCATTGCTTTACTGAGAAGAGTTTTGGAGAACTTCAGGGTGGTGAGCAGGACACATTTTGAGTTCCAGGGTGAAAATGCCTGCCTGGGTTTCTCCAAATCTGGAGCTGAGATTCTTCTATATTCTGTTTGCCCTATTTTCACTGTGAGTTTGTATTAGCTTCAAGTGATATTCAGCAATTTTAATCTGAAACTACTCCTTTAGAACTTTCCGTGTTCTTCTACATTTCTGCTATTTATACTTTGCAATGATCATAAGCACATTTGGAGCTACAGTGGATATTTAGTAACATGAGATGTTTCATATCACTCCACGTACTCACATGGTGCCTATGTGCAGATCCAGGCAATTGACAAGAAATGCTCTTTGAAACAATCTAAATTCCTAGAGTCAGCTTGACTATGGCAAATCTGAGTAACCAACTGGCTTTTGAAAAGGCATTAATTATCTTTCAGTGTAACTCAGTTCAAAAGTGGTTGAGATAAACCTGAGCTTCTACCTGCTGTTTCATTCATAAAGAGAAATAAGTGCAGAATTCTTCTGTATATTAAGATAATCGAAAATGAATCTTGATGTGAATGGAAGGGGAGAGGGAGTGGGAAAGGGGAGGGTTGTGGGTGGGAGGGACTGTATGGGGGGGAAGCCATTGTAATCCATAAGTCGTACTTTGGAAATTTATATGCATTAAATAAAAGTTAAAAAAAAATAAGTGCAGAATTTTATGTTAAAATGCTATTTTTTAGAATAGGCACTCTAATGAATAATACATTCTTAAGATTGAAAGGTGATTATTGTGTTTATTCTAGAGTCATCAAATGATTTAGTATCTTTATGATTTGCTTAATGATAAAACTGAAGATATGCTCATCATAAATCTAGGCAAACAGTCAATGCTTAATAAGTATTGTCACCATTATGGTTGCTATTTCAAGCAGTAGTGGCAATTATAAATGGGTTGTACTCTCTTGTGATATAGTTCAAAAAAGGGAGTCCACTGAAATTCAAAACTCTTATATACTTCTTTTAAATCTAATAACATAACAAAAGAAGAAATTATAATTGGTCTGTTCTATAATCAGAATATGGCACCAAACAATTGTGAGAGAAAAACAGTAATTTTTATTTTTATTCTATTTGTTTACAAATTTTCAGTTTGCCTTCTCCCTATGACTTCATCATGATCTTTCATATAGATTCACTTGGAAGGAGTAAAAAAAGACACTGGTAGATATCAGATTATTAAAATTATTTTACAAACTAATGTTCTTCATATACATTTAATATGCAAGAAGAAGACAAAAGATGGGAAAATCTATATTGAAATCACACATGATGGTTCACCTCTCCAGGATAAAACTGTGTGGTTCCTGTGGTGTTCTGATTATCTTTAGGATACACACAGAGGATTATGTTACAATGACCAGGGCAGATTCTTAAAAAGGCAGTGAAAGGAACACTGATTTCCAGCACACAGGACCGCCCAGAACTAGATAGACATTTTATAGTTGGCGGGAGAACTCCTGTGTACTTGACCTTCAAATCCAAATAAAAGTCACCCTGTTCTTTACGTCCCTGACTTCCGTTGCGTTTCGCTCTTTCTCTCCTCTTCCCCTCCAAGTGTTAGAGCATGAGCGGTAACAGGACTCCGGCAGTAGCTGGACTCACATGAATCGCCCGTATTCATTGATGCTTTAGGCTTCTGTCCTGTTTGCATGACTTGAACTTTGCCCTTTTTATACAACAGTCAAACACCCATTCAGAGCAGCCAAGGGCTGAGTCCACAAGATGCCAAAACATTGTTGCTAAATGATGACCCCATCTAGATATTTGTAAATATTGGAAAATTCAGGAAGTTCCACAAATTTTAGATCCTATATTTAGCACTTCCCAGGTTTTCTTTTTTAATTACATAAAACAAAGAAGCCTCAAATTCAAAACACAAGCTGAAACAACAGGGCACAACTTTTTATTGCATTAGCAGAACAAAGACAAGTACTATTTGCTATCATTATCATTTCATGGGAAAAGATGGCTTTTCATTTTACTAACAAAATGGAAGGAACAAAAAATATAAAAGATAGCTTTAAAAGAAATGAATACATTTACATAATGAAAAAAATCACACTATTTTCATTTTCTTTTTCTTTCACCAATGCCTAGGTTTTAAACCACACAGAAGGCTAGTGCTTTTCCAGAGACTGGCGTTTGGGAAGTATGGCTCTAAGT